GCCCTGGTGCCTGGTAAAGGCTGCCCCACCGTAATTGCACTGTACACTCAGAAGACAGTACCTTTTGTCCACCTTAGCGTATAGTAGCTTTCCATACCGGAGCTGTGTACAACGTACAAAAGTTCCTCACCCGTAAGGCTGCCTCAAGGTGAACTGTCTACTCAAGCCTTCAAACCTAAGTAAGCTGTACTCAACCACCTGTGAGTTTAATTGGTTAAAAGAAAGGGAGTAATAAGAGTTCTTTCAATAAGCACAAGTCCTGGAAGCTTCATCTGGAGTCAGGATAACCAGTTGGGACTTCATTTCCACTATTATTTGAAGACTTCATTAGGCTCTCCTTCATATATTTTAGAAAGTTTCCATTGTCCTAGTTTCCTCAGATGCCCCTCAGTTATAGCTGTTTCTCCTCACATTCTCTCCCCCGCCCCACTGATCCTTTCAGTCCAGTCTGCATCCCCCTCTCCCAGTCCACTCATTGAATATGTTTTCTCATTTCAGGAAGATATCGTCTGTGCCCTGGTCCTAGCCTCTCTGGGACTAGGGGTGTAGCTTAGGTATCATCTCCTTAAGGCTGATGTCCACATGTAAGCAAACACACCATATTTATCTTTCGGGGTCTAGGCTACCTTACTCAGTGTGGGGTTTTCTAGTTCCATTTGCCTGCAAATTTCCTGTTGTCACTTTTTCTTAACGACTGACTAACACTCCATTGTGTAAATTACCACGTTTCTTGATCCCTCTGTTGAGGAACATCTAGGTAATCCCCAGCTTCTGGCTCGTGAGTAGAGCGCAGTGCACATTGTTGAGCAGGGGTCCTTTGTAGGGTGAGGTTTGTGTGTGTCCAAGGGTGGGGAACACACGCTCTTAAAGAAGAGAGGAACAAAGCAGCTGGGTATGGTGGCCCACACTGTGATCACAGCCCCAGAGGTAGAGACAGGATGGTCGTGAGTTTGACGTCAGCCTGGGTGACGTGGAGAAACTCTTATCTCCATAAATGAAAGCAAGCAAGAAAAAAAGATTACAAAATCAAAACTACATCTTTTTAATTACCTTCAAAACCTTCCCTATGCACTTATTTTTTTAAAATCTCCTTAAAGCATGTATTTTTTACTTTTTATACAAAGGACTTTATAACATATGTAATATGCATAGATTCTGTATTTTGATATTTTCCTTCAGTTTCTTGTGTATAGTAATTTGGATGTCTTACTCCACTAAGAAAAAGTCTCATGATTTTCCTTAATGTGGTTATGCAATAATGTATTTCTCCTTGAAGGTAATTGTTGTTTGGAGTGAAGGGGAAGGCACTGAGATGGCTCTGTAGTTAAAGATGGGCTTGTCACCAAACCTGATGACAGGCGTTTGATCATGGAGTAAAGGAGAGTTGTCCTCTCTCTACATGTTACTAAATTAATATTTAAATTTTTTAATGTATCAAGTTAATTTACTTCTAATAAAGTTTTAATGGTTATGCTGTAAGACCAAAACATGAGTTTTTCTAATATTCTGGTTTTCTTTTCTCCTCTTTTTACCTATAAATTAGAATTTGTTAACAAGCTTAGTCCCTCTTTTCTTTTCAAGATAACATTTATGGTCAAGATAGATTATCTGAAAAAAAAATAAGTGAAAGGGGTGTACTGGAAAGTAATTTTGTTTCCATATTAAAATGCTGAAGTATTGGAAAAATAGTAAAATATGAAGTGGAAAATACACACAAGGTAGTCAATTATATAATGTGTTTGTCTCAGATTTATTGCACTTTCCTTAATCCATAGAAAATGGCAGCATCCACCACAAACCCACAAAACATCACTTTCCAAGTGTGGCTGACTTGCACATTCCTTTAAGAAGAACTTGTAACTGATGAGACGGAAGAAGTGGCCAGCATTTGTGCCCTTGTGGCAGTGCGTTAAGTGAAGAAATTGGCGAAGTTTCTTACTCTAGAACTTGCTTTGTAGACCAGGCTGTCCTCAAACTCCATCTACTTGCCTCTGCCTCCCAAATAATGGGATTATAGGAAGGTTTCATTTTAAAAAGAGAGGACATAAGTCATGGCTACATTCACTGACTATAATGTATATTGCTTTTCTTTGGAAAGTTAATTATTCTGGGCTTGAAAAGTTTTCTGGTTTTGATAGTCCTTGCTCTCTTCAAGTTAAACTATAATAGCTAACTTAAAATAGTTAGCTTTTGGATGACTGGTTTGATATATTTGTTGTCTTGACAGTTAACTGATTTTACAATGTGATTCCAAATTTAAAATTCTATAACAGAGTTATTGCTGAAGACTTTATAATCTTATTTTTACTTTTTTTTTTATTTGTTTGGGAGTTTTTGTTTGTTTTGTTTTGCTTTTCCTTGATACAGGGTCTCTACATAGTCCTGGCTGTCCTAGAGCTCACTTCATAACCCACAATGGCCCAATTTGTTTGTCTCAATGCTAAGATTAAAAGCATGCACTACCATGCCTGGCAATTATTGTTTGTTTGTTTGTTTGTTCTTAAATGGTGATAGTATTTAAATTTCAGATTTATTGTTGTTGAATGGCTGTAATTTTTTATTTCTCTCATAGAAAAATAATATTAACAGATATTTTGAGATTATCTTGCTAAAATTATAACATTATACTTCAAGAAATATAATTTTAATAATTTGTTAGAAAAATAGCCTGGGCTATAGCCTGATGGCCTGGGCATGGTGGCTCACCCTTAAATCCTAGCAACCTGGAGGCAGAGGGAGGTGGAATGAGTTGGCGGCCAGCCTGGTGTACATAGAGAATTTCAGGCCAGCTAGCATGACATAGTGACACCCTGTGTGGATAAGAAGAAAAAGAAGAATGTTGGCTTTTTTAAGGCTGATTAACGAATCACATATCAAGAAGTATTACCTACATGACCTATAATGTGATATTCATATACTACAGCAACAGTGTAAAAAGTATTGAAATAAAATATATGCTGAGATAATACAATTCTCTTTTTAGGTGTCAGTTGGAAATCTAACTTCCTATAACTTTAAAAGGTGGTAACATCATCTAGCTATTCTGACTGCACATCACACTCTTTTTATGGTAAAGACATTATTTCAGAATATCTTGAAGTCTGATAATGTCAGCCAGTCCACAGAAGCAACATGACTTAAAAGTTAGTATTAAATGCCAGCAGGGAGGGAGAAGCAAGCATCCTGCCTTCTCATTGGACACCCTGGAGAGGTTGCTGTTTTATCAGCTGATAGGAGAATGTTGACATGTATCTAGTTCTGTTAAGATGTGATATACATGTTCCTAAAAATCACTGAGTTATAAAAGTAGCTTTCCTGAAAACAGCACAGAGCTGTAAAGAAAAAGATTAGAGACACAGCTCTCCAAAACTTGACTCAAATATTTTTTTAAAGCTAAGAACCTTTTTAAAAATATAGTACAGTTTTATTCATGTTAAAAATTCAAGAAAGGGCCTGGTGTTGGTAGCACATGCCTTTAATCCCAGCACTTGGGAGGCAGAGGCAGGCAGATCTCTGAGTTTGAGGCCAGCCTGGTCTACAGAGTGAGTTCTAGGACAGCCAGGGCTACGCAGAGAGACCCTGTGTGCCTGGGGTGGGGGTGGGGTGGCAAGAAATGTGTATAAATACTGTAATAGATATTGTACGTTGCCTTGAATAAGACCTGAAATTTGCCTGCAGAAGTGAGCTTTATGAAATAGTGAACTGAGAGTTCTGAAACCAAAGAAACTGTAACACAGGATGTGGCTGGCACAGTTCATAATGTGCAGACGCAGAAACTAGGAAAGGTTGGAGCTGTGCTCTTGTGTTTTTTGTGTACTGTAGTAGTTCAGCTTTTCTTAAACAGATTTTTTTTATTTACCTAGTATAAATATTTACCGAGCTGAAATTGTAGCAAAATATACCTAATATTCAAACAGCGGTTTAATATTTCAGTTGTTAGAGCAAATTTGTCACTTCAAAATAGATGTTACAACCAAGCTGATTTCTAGCTGAAGGCAAGGGAAACACTTGAACTTGAAGAGGTTAGGTACTATTATGGTAGCCTTCAAAAGCTAGGTATATTCTGATCCTTAGAGATTTACTGCAGAGTGTCGGGGAGCAGGGTCTGTGCATGCAAATGCCGTGCCCAGAGAGGCAGTCCTCTTGAGCTAGGTGTTAGAAGCCGTCCCAGCATGGGAACTGAACTCAGGTCCTCTGAATTAGCACTGTACATTTTTAACTACTAACCGTCTCTGTGTCGCTACCACACAGCAGTGAACAGGATAGTGTCACCACTTTGAAATGGGAAAACTGGTGGTTTTGTGTCAGTAGTGTCGTAAGCAGTCAGGGATTAGTTCTGAGAAGCAGGTGTCGGTTGTTGAGTAGTCCAGCAGCACAGGTCTACTGCTGTTTCCTAGCCTCTGGATGTTCTACCTCTATAGAGTAGCTTCCCAGTATTCTCCCAGCTCAGCAGGCGCGGTTTACAGAACTTCACCCCAAAGTCAATTTTAGACCGTGTTAGAATAGGCAAGTAATCAATCTCCTTCCTTCTTGTCCATAACGAAGGGAGAATCTTAATGCAGTTGAGAAGTGAAATTTATGTCTTTTTTTATATTATTGTTTGATATTTAACAGAAATGTATTTTTCTTTATCAAAATAATTAAATTTGTTGCATGGTGGTATATGCTGAAAATCCCAGCGGTGGGGTAGTAGACAGGTGGACCCCTGGGGCTTACTGGCCAGCCATTCTAGTCAGCTCTGTAAGTTCCAGGCTAATGAAAGACTCTGTCTTTTACATGCTTTGTCTTACAGGACAGTATTTCCTTCAGGTGCCTCTACATTTACCAGTATATGGCAGAGTGATCCAGTGAACTTTGGAAGTTCTAGATTCTGTTCATCTTCTTTACTGCCTGGGGTTTATGCTTCAGATAAAAGTATTAAAAGAATTCTCTAAGCAACATTTCTTGAACATATTACCACCAAAATCTTATAGCATTACTCAAAACATAAGTGACACTGAGTTTTCAAATATGTTTTGTTTTGTTTTGTTTTGTTTTGTTTTGAGACAGGATCTCTCTGTGAAGCCCTGGCTGTCTGGAACTTGCTCTGTAGACCAGGCTGCCCTCGAAATCACAGATCACCTGTCTTTGCCTCCTGAGTGCTGAAGTTACGGATGCGCGCCGTCACACCTGGCTGAAATAGAGTTCTTACAATTGGAATTACTGAAGTTGTTCTTGTTCCTCCTCGGCTTGATCACAGTACCCATCGGTGTCGTGAGAGAGAGGTGTCGTGAGAGGCTCATTCCTGCTAACCAGAGGTCATGGTGGCTCTCCCGCTTTACAGCACTGATGCTCAGCGTGTGTCTCAAAAAACTTAGTGTGGTTTTCTCAGGAGCAGAGCATCAGACTGTGCTGTGATTAGACCAGCTACGCTTACCTTCTTTGATAAGCTTTATCGCTTGTCAAGGTGAGAGCACTTAAAGAAACCAGCAGAAAAGATGATACGCTGTGTCTGTGGGACATGGAGAGCACTGTAAGGAAGTGCTGGGAAATAGTCTCCAGAGGAGCTTCAAGTTACAGCTTGATTTCTTTCCATCAGCTTCAGAGTCCTCATCCTCTAGAGGTGCCTTATAATCCTCACAGAGGAAAAGTAGTATGTAGATGCGAGTTGTTTTTTGTTTTGTTTTTAAATGTTGGAAGAATGGTATGGGAAACTTTTTAAATGAGTGCCAGTTGAAAAGTGAATTCAAAAACTAAAACAAAGCAACTTAATATCATTTAACTGTCTTCTGGCCTCCTTTGTTTCTAATAAATCATGCCTAAATGGGCATGTTAGCTCACCCCTGTAATACTAGAACTCAGAGAGCTAAAGCAGGAGGATTGCCCCAAGTTCAAAACCGCCTTGGGCTAGAGAGTGAGCCCTGTCTATAAATACGCTGTTCTGTTGGATATTGGGTTAAGTTTAAGGTTTCTTTCCTGGTTTATAGCAGTAAGGCCATATTAGGCCTCTATATGTTTTGGTTTTTTGGGGTTTTTTTGTTTTTTTTGTTTTTTTTTAAGTATAAATTTAAAAAGTATAAATATCTTTCACTAACTTGGGGGAAATTAGTCACAGTTCCATCAGGTTTATTTGCTTTTATCCACCTGCTTCTCGGTCCTGTTTTTCTGGCCTCTAAATTCAAGGACATGAAAGCTGTTGGTGCTATCTGCTGGACCCTGAGGGTCTGAAACACCCTACTCCCACTCAGCACTCTGTCCATCTTCCAGATTGCTTCAAGTTCACTGACTTCACTTCTCTTATTTCCTACTGTTGATAAGTATGTCCAGGGGATTGTTTGCTTCAGATGTTTAGTTCTTAAATAGAAGAATGTTATGTGCAGTTTCATATGTATGAATACATAGATATACTCTACTTATTCCTGAGAAGTCCGAGTATATTCACCCTTACACTAACGAGCTGCTTTCAAGTCCATATTGCTATTTTGGGCTATATTTTGGGCTTGTTCTCCATTGGTTGTCTTTTTCTTAAGTATGGGTTAGTGTTTCCTGTTCCTGTTTGGTTTTAATCATTTAGAATGTGATTAAGGACAGGAATGACTGTCTTAGAAATAGAAAATCTGGCTTTTTATGTTTCCCTCAGTGGATAATGGTGCTTGGTTTGTTTTAGGGGACAGTTAATTTTAACCTTAGCGCTCTCATATATGTAGTTGAGAGATCAAACCAGTGCGCAAAGAACACACAAGATCCAGCTTCTGGCTCGTGACCCCCTCTTTCCATGAGCCACTCTGTCCTGTCAGGAAGTAGGCATCTTTGTGCATCTGCACACGGTTCTCATTTGTGTCCTCGCTGTCTAGAAAACCAGGCTAGTAGTGAGTGGCTGTTCACGCTTCAGTATTGGAGTCAGTCAGTTTGTTTCATTTTCCGTCTTCTTATCATGAAGGTGTTTCTCATTTAGATGTTTATTTGCCTGTTCCGAATATTGTGTGTAAATTATTTTTTAAATCTAAGTCATTGAAGTGTGTTTTAGAAATTGTAATATGAAAGCGACTTTACAGTAAAACTTTCATCCAGTGAATATTGCACCTTTTGTGAACCCAGGTTTGGTCTACTCCTGGCCTGGGAATACAATACTTAGCTTCAGAGTCCTCATCCTCTAGAGGTGCCTTATAATCCTCACGGAGGAAAAGTAGTATGTAGATGCGAGTTGTTTTTTGTTTTGTTTTTAAATGTTGGAAGAATGGTATGGGAAACTTTTTAAATGAGTGCCAATTGAAAAGTGAATTTAAGGAAGTAAAATGAGAGAGCCTTTGAGTATCTATGGGAGAAATGTTAAAGGCAAGAGCAGTAAGTCCAAAAGTCTTCAAGGAAAAACATGACTGGCTTCTTTTGAGGATATACCAGAAGCCCATTAGCAGCTAAGGGAACAGGAATGTGTTAGAAATGGAATAAGAGGATGGTAGTAGCAAGAGGCCTGGTGTGCAGCTTTGAGGGGGCGGGCAGCTGCTTTGGTGAACTCTTCACAAAGACTGTTGATGGGGAAGACAGAAGGTGTGAAAGGCATGGACACTGACACAAAGAACGGAGGGAGAACAGCGACCGTTAAACTTACGCTCATAGCTAAAGTAGATTAAGGTGGCCCAGACAAAAGCAGTAGGGGTGAAAATAGTCAGACACAAGAGACTTTTGCAAATAAAGACAGCGTAATTCATGGTAATAAAGATGGAACAAGAGAAGAAACACTTATGTACATGATACAATGGAAAACTGAAGTAGAAAAGACTCAAGGTTATTTTGTATAGAGGAGAAGTTGAAAGCAAAGTATAAATAGTTTGTAGCATTAAATTTACGTAAAATACAGTTTTTCAGGTTCTTCTACAGTTTATTTTGTTAGGTGCTGAGGCGTATACCCTTTCATGCTGTAATTATAAATTCACAGCAGTATTCGCTCTAAATTCGGTTCTTATTAATTTTTTTTTTCCTTTCTTTCACAGAAAATGCTTGGCCAGAAGAGATGAATACTAATTCCACTCAGGCCTAGAATTGCCTATTGAGATAGTCCTGAGCAGGCGACATACGAATGGCCCAAGGAAGCCACCAAATTGATTTTCAGGTTTTACATGACCTGCGACAAAAATTCCCTGAAGTGCCTGAAGTTGTTGTATCCAGGTGTATGTTACAGGTTAGTGCCCAGTGGTCTCTGGATTGACTAACAGAGCACTAATATTTATCCGATGCTTTTTAGATTGGAGGAGGGGTCTTTGTTGGCATTACTGTGCTGTAATGGAAAGAAATGGTCTTTGGTATCTCATAATAATGTGGCCTGTGGCAAAATGCGGCTCTTAGTACCCGCCTGACTTACAGGCAGGAGAGCTAACATGCTAGCTTACATGATCTTGCTCCTTTTCCCCTTGTCCTCTTGTCAGGTTTTTAAAATCTCAGATCTTTGTATAAAAATAGAAAAAATAATTAAGGAGTCAGAAAACTTGTTCTTGTATTGATTTGGTACTCTGAACATTTGTCAAAACCCTGTTTGCACTTGAGTTTCTTCTCTCTGACATGAGGGATTTTTATGAACAGTGCATAAGTTCCAAATTGTAAAGAAAAAAAAAAATGTTGTTTTATATTTCTTAGTTTACTTTCTAGGTTTTCCAGTTAATCTGTCCAACTTTTACATTGTTCTTAGTATACAAAATTTTAGAAATCCATAATTCTAAATATTATTAAATATTTAGTGATAGTTGTAGCTCGCCATTTATTTAACCTGGAAATCTTTTTTATCAAAAAGTAATCTGGGGATCCTTCAAATTTTGACAGTATAACTTTTCAAATCAAGTAGAAGGTAGAAATTTGTAGGAAAAATAAAGCTATGTGACAGTATTCAGAAAGTCATTGAAAATCTATAGGAAAATAATGTAGGTTCTTTAACAGATTTCTTGATGTTAAAAGAACTATCTAGAACACTTACTTATAGCACAGTGATTTTGTTTTATTTTGTTTTTTTGAGACCATGTTTCCCTGTGTAGTACAGGCTGGCCTCAGAGTTAAAGATCTCCCTGCCTCTGCCACCTGAGTCCTGGGATTAAAGGCGTGAGCCACCACTACCCCATGCTCAGTGATATTTTAAAATCAGCTAACTGGGAATAAAGTGTAAGGTCTTTTCTAGAACTGCTTAAGGAATTTTCAAAAGGTAAAGAAGATATCTTATGTATACTTCAGTATAATTTTGATGTATTGAGAAAATAAACCAAGTGTTCCAGAGGCAAAAGCACTGGGGGGAAAAACTCAACCATTTCTCACTTTTTGCTTGCTCATTTCTTGTTTAAATGGTATGGACTATTGTTTCCTACCAATAAGAGTTCTGGGGTCATTTTTATCACATTGTAAACATTTTAACATCATTCATTTCTCTCTGGCTCCTAGTCTTGCAGCTCTGAATTTGTTTCCTCTCATTTTGTCTACGTTGTATTGGTAGGTCTCTCGCTACTCACGTCCATTACCAGATTTTGTTATTGCCTGTCTTCTAGCTGGCTGCTCTGTCAGAAGAATATTTATCTCCTTGCATCTGAAGTATAAGCAGAATGGTCTTCCCAAAATACTCTTTTCTGTTTACTTCTCTCTCTTTTTTTTTATCCTCCATTACTTAATCCCAACTCCTTTTGCAACCATGTGTTTCATGAAATTTCCCATGTAAACGAACCTTCACTCCTAGGACCAGCTAGTCTTGTTTCACTCGCTTTGGAACATGGCTTAGCTAACTCTCATTCCCTTCTCCAAGAACGCTAAGGTTTCTATGTTGGTTTTGTTTTGTTTTTTGTTTTGTTTTGTTTTGTTTTGTTTTGTTTTGTTTTGGAGAGGGTTGGCAGTTTGTCTGTCTGTTGTCTTCTCATCCAAGTTGTATATGCCCTGTGAACCGTCAAGGTGAACGTACCTCATTAATCCAGTCGTGTGTGTGTGTGTGTGTGTGTGTGTGTGTGTGTGTGTGTGTGTACACATTAATTCATATAGGTGCCCATATATCTTCAAGTATGTTACACATGTGTATGGGTAGATGCCTGAGAGGAACCCCTAGTGTTATTTTTTTTTTTTCTGGAGCTTTACATGTTTTTTTGAAACATGTAAAGTTTTTTTAAAACTTGTTCTAATGTACGTGTGTTTAGGGCTGACCAGGGCTCATCCCTAGAGAAGATTGCTTTTCCCTCTCAGCAGCCATTGATTGCCTATAGCTCCTCCTCTGGGAGTGGTGCCTCATGGAGCCTCCCCTGTCTGCATTGGCATATTAACTGGTGTGGTTGTACAGGTCTTCTTTAGGCAGCCATACTGTCATGATTTCATAGCTGTCGCTTCCCGTCATGCTATAAGACACTGTCTCACAGCAAGCATCCTAGTCCTCTGGCTCATAAAATCTTACCCCTCCTCCATGGAGTAGGGATTGTGTTGTAGATATACCAGTTGATACTGGGTACCGCACAGCTGGTTATTCTCTGCGTCTTGACCGGTTGTAGATTTCCTTGATGGTCTCCGTTGCCAAAAGAAATTGCTTTGATGAGAGGGGAGAGCTAACCATATGTGGCTTTTAAAAAATACTTAGAATTTAGCTGGGGTGTTATAAACCTAGCTAACTCTCATTGCCTGGAGAGGTCATAGGCCCTAGAAAACAGACTATTTCCGTTTTCCAAAACTGCCTACCTGATTGGTTACAGGCTCTTGCGGGGGGGGGAAAAGCTCAGTTTTATTTGTCATTAAGTCTTCCACAGCCTTGAAGATTGCTGCATATATGGTTGAAAACTATAAGCACTAAAAATTAACTTACATGGTCTTTAGTTTAAAAGAATTTGTTTAACAATTGACTATATAAATACTGGCTTATTTTCTGAGTAGTTTGAGGAACTTTGCATTTTATCATTTCACTTTTAAAAGAAATTTAATTATACCTTATATTGTTAAGTTGATTACTTTGTTAGTGTAAAAATTGTATTTTTTTATTAAGCTGCATTTTTACTGTATTTGAAGGACAATTCTTAGACAAGGATTTGGTTTACATTTATCTGTTACTAATAAGTTTTCCATTATACTAATAATGAGAATTAATAATTCAATATATACATAAAATAGTTCTCAAATCAAAAGATGTTCAGTCTGGAGATTGTATTAGCCATCACATGCTAATTGTATAGTACTGCTGTGGTAATGATGTCTGTATTCACAGCTCACGAGGAAGACTGACCTGTTCTTATTTTGTCTGTAGAACAACAACAACCTGGATGCCTGCTGTGCTGTTCTCTCTCAGGAGAGTACACGGTATCTTTATGGTGAAGGAGACCTGAACTTTTCAGATGAGTCTGGAATTTCTGGTCTACGCAATCACATGACTTCTCTCAACTTGGACTTGCAGTCACAGAATGTTTACCACCACGGAAGAGAAGGAAGTAGAGTAAATGGAAGTAGGACTCTGACACACAGCGTCAGTGATGGACAGCTTCAAGGTGGGCAGTCCAACAATGAACTGTTCCAGCAGGAGCCACAGACAGCACCAGCTCAAGTTCCTCACGGCTTCAGTGTGTTTGGAATGCCCAGCACATCTGGTGCTTCAAATTCAACACCACATCTTGGATTTCACCTAGGCAGCAAAGGGCCACCTAACCTCTCTCAGCAAACTCCCAGATTTAATCCTATTATGGTAACGTTAGCCCCAAACATACAGACTGGTCGGAGTACTCCTACGTCTTTGCACATACATGGTGTACCTCCGCCTGTACTTAACAGCCCACAGGGAAATTCTATCTATATTAGGCCTTATATTACAACTCCTAGTGGTACAGCTCGGCAGACACAACAGCATTCTGGCTGGGTATCTCAGTTTAATCCCGTGAACCCTCAGCAAGCCTACCAACCTTCGCAGCCTGGTCCTTGGACTACTTACCCTGCGTCCAGTCCTTTGCCACATACCTCAACCCAACAGCCGAATCAGCAGGGCCACCAGACCTCTCATGTCTACATGCCCATCAGCTCGCCAACTACCCCACAGCCACCAGCAGTCCATTCGTCGGGTAGCGCTCAGTCTTCTGCCCAGTATAACATTCAGAACATTTCAACAGGACCTCGAAAAAACCAGATAGAAATCAAACTTGAACCCCCACAGAGAAACAGTTCTTCAAAATTACGTGCTTCTGGACCTCGAACTGCCAGCACTTCAATGGTCAACAGCCAGACCTTAAATAGAAATCAGCCCACTGTTTACATAGCTGCCAGTCCTCCAAGTACTGATGAGATGGTCTCCCGTAGTCAACCTAAGGTCTATATTTCAGCCAATGCCACCACAGGAGATGAGCAGGGCATGCGGAATCAACCTACACTCTTCATATCCACAAACTCTGGGCCATCTGCCACCTCCAGGAACATGTCTGGGCAAGTGAGCATGGGTCCTGCCTTTATCCATCACCACCCTCCCAAAAGCCGAGTGTTGGGTGGTAACTCTGCAACGTCTCCCCGAGTGGTGGTCACTCAGCCCAACACGAAATATACTTTCAAAATTACAGTTTCTCCCAATAAGCCCCCGGCAGTCTCCCCAGGGGTAGTCTCCCCTACCTTTGAACTTACAAATCTTCTAAATCAGCCTGACCATTATGTAGAAACAGAGAATATGCAGCACCTCACGGACCCTGCTTTAGCACATGTGGATAGGATAAGCGAAGCGCGGAAACTGAGTGTGGGATCTGATGATGCTGCCTACACGCAAGGTAATGCTAACGTTAAAGGAGGGATCGTTTTCCTTGCTGCATTGACCGAACATGGGTTTCAGAGCAGAAATGGGCGTCCACATGCCGTCTGGTCTGTCTGACTTGTTCTGCAGTACTGCCTTCCTACACTAAGTATTCTTCCACTTGGCTGTATCCCTGACCCAACTTCTGTCTTCAAATGTCCCAAATAATCATTATTTTCACTTTTGAAAGGAGTCATATAAATTTTAATTTTATGATCATATCATCTGGAATTTTGTAGTTAATAGATTTTCAAAATCAACTTTGGCTTGTTTTTAATTTTTTTTATTTACTTTGTTTTATATGTATGAATAGTATTTTGCCTTCCTTTGTGTCTGTGTACCATGTTTTTGCCTGGTGCCCACACAAGTCAGAAGAGGTCATCATCTCTCCTGGAACTGGAGTTAAGGACGGTTGTGAGCCACCATGTGGGTGCTGGGAACTGAACCCAGGTCCACTGCAAGACCAACAAGTGCTCCTAACCGCTGAGCCGTCGCTCCAGCCCTTTCATCCTTTCTGAAAAAGCAGCTTCATGACTGGCTTTCTTAGAAGAATCTGACTCTTTGGTCTTATTTAAACTGATAGTTGGTAAGTGAGTCTTTATCTAAGCTAGGTTGTGGTAGTTTCCTGTCCCATAATCCTGCATAGAGATTTGACAACATCCAGGTGCCCAGGGCCGGCTTAACCTTACACAGTTGGCATCTTGGTGTAGGAAGCTGATGCACGTGTGTACTAGAGGTCTAGGCGATTCTGTTTGTGCTACAAGTTACCGTAAGATTGATACTATCCCAATACCTGTGACTGACTGAAGCTGTTCCTTTACTTCAGCAGTGCCTGAGTTTCTATAGATTACCAGCTTTTCCACCGAAACGGAGTTCTTTCATCAGTCTTATCCTCTCTCCTAGCAGAATGGCAGGCTTCCTGTAATGTAGAGCAGGGTTTTATGAAGATAAAATGTGGACATTATATTAAAGTTACTCCTCTTTAACTTAAGTGAGAAAGCAAAGTGTTCCTTAAATACACTGTCTCCATATTTTCCCCATTCTCTCTAGATCTACGGCAATCACATTTTCCCCAGTGCAGTCGCCAGGTGCAGTCAAAGTCTTGGTGACGGCATTGTTACCCACTCAGTAGCCATCTTTGCGCCTTCACCTCCCTCCTCTGGAGATCAGCCCCTCTTCTCCATGAAATGCTACCGGTGTCCCTGCTGCTTTTCTTCTGTGCAACCCTCCCTTGTCTTTCTGAGTCTCACCTCTTTGCCCTTCTACTTCTTTGGTCCTAGTGAGATCTGAGTCTCTTGGCTTACTTTTAATAAGATCCTTAACCTCTTTTCTGTCTGTTCTCTGATCTCATTTGGTCTCTTGATTTTTGTTACATGCTTATTTCTTTCTTTAAATAAGGTAGTCCTAAGTAGACCAGCTCTGCCCAAGACAAAGTTTTCCTGCCTCAGTTCCCAAGTGCTGGGGTTATAGGCCTCTTCCACCATGCCCAGCTCTGCCCCTTGATTTTAAATAACATTGTATATACCCCTGGCCCCCACATTGCTAACTCTAAGCCAGACCTTCCCTGAGTTCAAGGCGCTTTATCTGTACAATCGCCTGCATTGGAATGTGTCATGGGTTTCTCAAATTTAGTGAGTCTTAAAACAGCCTCTGACTTTCCCAGCAGTTTATTCCTCCCTTAGTCAGTTACTGGCAATTGAATTTTCTAATGATTAGAATAAAACATCCTCGACTCCTTTATTTCATATTCACATCTTATTTGACAGAAAATCCTGTCATCTATCTTTCCAAGTATATCCAAAACCCTGTTTCCCCACCCCCTGGCCCCTGCTTTCATCTAACCGCGCCACCTCTCAGATTAATATAATAGTAGCAGTACCCTGGCCCTCGCCCTTGCCTCCTTGTGGTCTGCTTGCAGCCCCGCAGCCAGAGATACTGTTCAAAACACCCTGTCCTGTCACATCCTATCCCTGTGCAGTTTGATAGCTGTCTGTTGACAGTGGAAGCTCTCAAAGCCTATGTGCGTGCCATTCCTTCTCATCTACTTGGGGGCTTTGTTTTTTTATTTTTTCAAAATTTAATTAGAGTATGAGTATGTGTGGTTGTATGTGTTTACGTTCTCACGTGTGCCTTGTGCATGCATGTGTGAGTAGGGATGCATGTGCTGATGGATTTGAGTGGAGCAAGTTATCAGTGTCCAGTGCTTTGCCCACTGAGCCACCTTGCTATCCCTGCTTTTTTCTTTCAGACACTGCTTTGCTTGCAGTGTCCAGCCCCTCTGGCCTTTGTCAGTTCCCCTTGGTGCCTTTGTACTTGCTGTCCCTACTGTTCGAACTTTCCTGAGAGCCCACTGAGCTATAAGCTATATTCCTCTTTCCTTCTGATAGAGACTGGAGCGAGTAGCTGTTGAAAAGTAGAAGAGCTGTCTGTCCTCCCACGGAGTGGCTGCCATACTTGTCTTGATAGATGGGGAGGGGAAAACCACTCATCATTCAAGCCCATTGTCATGGGGGGGAAGAAAGATACATTCCATGTGTTATGAAGCCAAGGCTCAGCAGACCAGAACAGCTGCCAAAAGGTTCCTCAGTCTCCTCCCCAGCAACCTCTGTAGGACTGATTTAGATGGCAAAATGCTTTTGCGGTTTAAAAACTTACATAAAGTTGCATTTTAATTATACTTTAGTGTCTTGTCTCTAGTTACACTTGTAATTCTATCATCCCATTAATATTAACAGAAGCTTTGATTTTTGTTGAGCGAAAGCCTAGACTTTAAACCTAAAATAGAAATTGGTTTTAAAAAGTTGACAATAAGTTTATTGAGTTTTGTGTTTCTCGTTCCTTGTCACTTTTCACCAGTACTTCCTTACACATCACAGCACTTTGAGATTTAATAATTCTAGTTGTGATACAAATTCAGTGATTTTGTTTTCCCAAAAGGAAACAATTTAAATTAAGTTACAATGTTTAAATTGGTAGTTGGCTTAATTTTATGAAGTGCCTCCTGTAGAACTTTTATGTTACTATAATCACGTTATTAAATAATCATCTTGAAATCACAAATTGACATCAAACTGCTCATTTTGCTTGTTTGTTTGGTTTTGGTTTTTCAAGTGAGTCTCCTACCTGTCAGCTCTTCCTGCTGTTTAGTTTGGTCTTAGAGTTAAAACAGACTCTGTAAGTGGTGCAGAACTCTACCCCGAGTTAGCAGGCCACCGAGTCCAGCCCTGGCTGATGAGAGCTCCATCCTGCAGCTGCCTTCTTGGGCGCCACGTCCCATCACGGGAGAACTCTGCTCAGCAAGCTCTCTTAAAACTGATTCCTTGCGGGCAGTAGTGGCGCACGCCTTTAATCTCAGCACTTAAGAGGCAGAGGCAGGTGGGTGCCTAGTCTGCAGAATGAGTTCCAGGACAGTCAGGGCTACACAGAGAAACCTTGTCTCAAAAAACCAAAAAGAAAAATAATATCTTAAAAGCATTATGACAGCAATATACAAATCATTTTAAAAGTCTGACAAAAAAAAGATAGAGTATGTCTCCACCTCTATCTTTATTAACATTTTTATTTTTCCATAGAGTCACTCATATACAAATATACATTCATATTACTATATATATATACAGATATAGCACATTTTTTTAGTACGGACTGTATTCATATGGATATTTGTAAACACATGGGGTGTGGGCTAAATTGTCACATCTAACCTTATGTTGATAAATTGGACCTGTCAGGATTGCATCTGTACTGCAGAAATTGAGACTTTTTCTTTTTCATTACACACTATAGTATGACAGCTATTTAATCTTTACATGACATTAGGCATTATCACAAATAATCCAGAGCCTATTTAAATTATAGCCAGGATGTGCTTATGCAAATATTAACACTTTTTTCTTGTCGTTTTGTTTTGTTTTGTTTAGAAACAAAACCTTTCTTTATATGCCCAAATAAGCATTGAATTTGTGTTCTCCTGTCTCCTACTCTAGAAAATGTCATTCCAGGTTAGCTGGTGGGCTCTGTTCCGTGACAAGAGAAATCATAGGTGAGCCATCCCCCAGCGCCCATGGGGAGTTCTGGGGTAAAGAGGTCCCAGAGTCCCCCCAGGCCTGAGTGGACTGCAGCTTTACCCATCGTGTGACTCAGCGCTAATGAGGCTGTTCTCTATGCGGCGCTTCCTAGGCCTCTTGCACTAGTCTGTGTGCTCCATGTTTGAGCAGCAGGCGCCTGGACAGTATGCACAGCTTTCTTCCCCTTTCTACCAAGTGCACAAAGGGTTGGAAAGAAAATACTTCCTTGTTCCGTCACATAAAAATCTACTGTGTGGGTTGGTTTTTATTTTAACTTGTCTGTGAGGAAAGAAGATGATCTTCAGGAGGGACCCGCATTTCTTAGTTTGTGAGCATGCCTGTTTTTAAGGGACTTGTGTACTTTTTTCTATCTTGCAGTGACTTTCACTATGCTCACTTAATGTCTTAAATGCTTTACTTTCGTGTATTTAGATTTGCTGGTCTCTTCCCCTTCTAGTTTCTGGGGTTTGTATCATAATTAGAAAGCCTTTCCCTGTTCATGATTTGGAAAAGCAGACAGCAGAAGTCTTGTGCTGTGTTTCTCTTCAGTGATGGTGACACTCCTTGAAACCACAGGGAACTGGCCTTACGACATTCCATCACAAACCTGAAGACTGCTGCCATGTCTCCTTTAAAGTAGAGGTCTGTGTAAGCCATAAGCGTCCTAGTCTCTGAGGAAGATATCTATGCCTCGGTGCTGGAGAATTACATGCCGAGGCTTAGTTATGTACAAATAATGCCAACACATCAGTGCCTAGCAGAGGCCCCACCAGTTGTGTTAAAAGACTAGCTCATGTTAGTGCTGACTGTAATGTTGGGGATGTACAGAGCTTCTGCATTATCTCAGTTTTCTTGTTGTGTTTGTTCTTTGAATTACAGGCTATGCAGCAAGGAAGGTCTGATTTCAACTAGCCTTAAAAATGGCAAAACAGCTGAAAACAGGATGCTTTAAAAGGGGCCATCTTTGAATCTTTTGTGATTCACTGACCAAATAAATGTCTAGCAGTAATGGAACACTGTAGAAAACAGATACAGTCTCTGCTGCCAATCCAGTTGAATCCAGAAGAATTTAGATTTATTTTAAAGGCTGACATTGTTCTTTCTTCATTCTAACTTGAATAGGAATTAGTTATATACTTAATTTAGACACATTAAATCATATAAATTTAAGACTTGAGAAATAAGTACCTACTACATTTAATGACAAAAATTATCTGTTTTTAATAATTCTAAAATCTTTATATCCATCAATACCTGAGACATTTTACAATGTCTTTAATAAGTGTATTGTCTTCTAATAGCTTTGAATGTTTCTGGAAGAATTAGTAATTATTTTAAAAGTGCCTAAAATTATTAAAAACTAACACTGTCTAGAACTTGAAGTGTCTTAACAATTCTTAATAAAATCAAGCATTTGTTTCCATCAGAAGCTGGGAGAAGTTGAGGCAAGGCAGCTTTCCCTCAAGACACCTGTACTCCAGAAGCAGTGTTGGAAGGCCCTGGCAACCAGCCGCTCCAGTGCGCGGTTGTCGGAGCAGCAGAGGGCCAGCGTGCTCCAGCTGCTTTTTTCTGTACTTTAATTCTGACAGAACGAGGACTTAAAAGCTGTTCGTTGTGTTCCTAAGTTGCCTACAGCATAGCAGCAGCGTATTAAAAGACCGGAGGAGTGGAGTGTTTCTTTTATAAACAGCATATATCTGAGTTTTAAAAAGCTGCCTTGTGAACTGGAGAGACTGTTGAGCAGTGCTGCTTTAGAGGACTTGGATTCAGTTACCAGCACCCACGTGGAAGCTCATTTGTAACTCCATTTCCAGGGAGCTCCACCCTCTTCTGAACTGTGCAGGCATGAGGAATGCTCATACATGTCGGCAAAACAGTCCTACAGATACATTTATTTAAAATCGCATGATAACAGTTCAGAGTATTCTTGTCAGGTTTTTGTTTTCCATGTCTTCTATGTCCTTTCTTGCCTGCTAGGTTTAAGCATGTGTTCTTTGTTTTTCTTTTTGCTATTTTAATTTAGAAAGTAGGTATTTCATTTAGAAACTGCACCTTTATTCCTTTAGTTGTAATCCCTAAACACTTAGCATGTTGGCATTTAAGAATGGGTTCCATGTAGATTTAAGCATAGCTCTTATAGGGAAACACAAAAGAAGATGGCCTTGGGCCCTTCTTTCCAAGTCTGTGGCATACTTTTCGGATTTTGTACTTCCTGATTCTTTTTTTTTTTTTTTATTTTCTGGTATTTTAGTTTCACTTTGATTTTTTAACAATCTTGTCTTGTGTATTTTTGTTTTTATGCTCGGCTTTTTGTTAGTTTGTCCTATTCTATTCCATCCTTTACATTTAGTTTCTTTAAAAAATGTATTTCAGGAAAAAAAATGATTTTAATAGCTACCTGTGATTGATAAATTCTTTCAAACTTTGAAAGTATGCTTTTTCATCGATATTCTTTGATAGTTTAGGTAGGTGAATAAATTGTTCCATTCATTATCTTCTAGAATTATATTTTTATTTCTTCAGTTTGGGGACATCTGTAATGACTATCCTTCAAATCTAATCTTTTCTCCACACTCTGTCTGCCCCTGAAATTCCTTTTTAAATGTATAGACAAACAACATTTAGCAAATGATTCAGTCTGAAAAAATGTGCCATGTAGCCAGTCCACTCATCATGCAGTCACCATGGAGTGCCCAGGTGGGTGTGGTAGCTGCTGCACCCGCAGGCCCTAGCATACCTACTAACTGTGTGTGGCAAGCCTGCATAGCATGCCACTGTACTGGGCACTTCAGGTCGCTGTGATACATTGGTAAGCATCTGTGTATCCAAACATTTCTAAACATGGAAAGCAATAATACTGCAGGTTTGGGGTGCCTCAAACCACATCAGCCTCTTCTTGGGTAGCGTCATCCCAAGATGTCTTTCCAATCCAGTTCCTAAAAGACAAGGTTCCCATGTCCCAGGGCTGGCTCCCAGGGACAAATAACTTTTAACAGCTTAATAAACTTTCCCAGGTAGCTCAGCATTTATGCTGCAAGATTTATTGCTTCTTTTAGAAATGCTGCTAAAGTTGTTTGACAAAATATAGCCTGGAAATGAGAAAATAAAGTATTTGCTTTTCTAAATGACAGTTTTTAATTTGCAGTTTGAACAACTTGTTAATACCTACATAGTTGAAGTCAGTCATGTTACATACATCAAAATGTATTTATCCCTTTTCATATTCTCTTATAAAATGTCATTAAATTGTCATGTTAGAATGTCTCATGCATAGACCAGTGTGTCACACTGGAGAAGAGAGACTTGTCATTTCCAAGAGTAAGATATGAACTGCCAAACAGCAAGTAGATTAGTGTACTGAGCTAGAACCTTTTAAAAAGGAATGGACTACTGTCTTCAGCCATCATGTAGGTTTAATCCTCACCATGAAAACTTTTACATGTGTAATATTTGCTTAAGTAATTAAAACAGTTTCCAGGTTAAGTTTTTTTTTTTTTTTTTTTTAATTTAAGTACTTAACAATATTTTGTTTTAAAGTAGCTCTAGCATTCTGGCAGACTGTCCCAGAAATGCTTGTCTGCTTCGGGGTTAGCTGCTCGAGTGGGTGGGTCCTCATGCTTGTGTCCTGTTGCAGCGCTGCTGGTGCACCAGAAGGCCAGGATGGAGCGGCTTCAAAGAGAGCTCGAGATGCAGAAGAAAAAGCTGGATAAACTCAAATCTGAGGTCAATGAGATGGAAAATAATCTAACTCGAAGGCGCCTGAAGAGATCAAATTCCATATCCCAAATACCTTCAGTAAGTCTTGTGTAACCACTGTGACCTCTGTGCTTGAATAGGAGAGCAGGCTGTCTGCCACAGTTTAAGGCTTGCTCTAGTTTTCCGCAAATGCTCTTAATTCGTGTTTGTGTTTCTGTCCTTCCCTTCCCCCTGCCAGACTCCATTCTTTCTTAACTAATGACATGAGAATTCAATACAAACCTTTTTTACATGGAATTATTTTTCAGCTCGAAGAAATGCAGCAGTTGAGAAGTTGTAATAGACAACTCCAGATTGACATTGACTGCTTAACCAAAGAAATTGATCTTTTTCAAGCCCGAGGTAAAGTTCAGTGCATACTCAGCTGAATTGATTGACTTGATCTGCCATCTCTTTTCCTGTGGCCGAAAACAGGCTTCCCAGGCACTGTCTCAGAGTGTTCGGCTTTGGAGGCAGATAGTGCAGAAGAACAATTGGCTTTTCAACCTCTCTTCCCCCAACAAGTATGGAATTGGTTCAGGAAAGCAGACAGACTCGGTAGACTTTAGATCCGCTGCAGCCTTCTCCTCAGCCCTGTGGTAGGGAAAGCAGCGACTGTGTATGTAGCTGCATGGTCGAAGGTTTGGCTTCTGTGTGTATAGGCTCGTTAGCAGGGTTAGTTATTAATGTGGCTGTGTTCATGTAACCGCTCTCCTTTTGCCTTTCAAGGATTGTGTGTCCTCATCTCACTGGCACTGCCTTGATTGATTAAACAGAAAAGGACATAAAAGTACAGTTATATTCTAAGTGATAAGGCTTTATACTTTTTTTGAGCAGTTAGTATCCAGCAGTAATTTCTTATTGTAGTATTTAGATTTAATTCAGTTCCATAGAAAACGTAAATAAAATTTATCACTGAAACCTAATTCTCAAGTTGGGGAAGTAATAGAAATACATCAAACTTAATAAGGAACAAAGGAAAGTTAACCAGGGAGTCTGGTCACATCTGTGTGTGTAATCCAGCATCCATCAAACTGAAAGATGAAGGATTTTTCTTAAATTGATGTTAAAATGCCAGTAAGCTATCGTCCTAGCTTGTCAAGTGGACCCAGGGCTCCGCTCTTAATTCTTTGTCACAAGCATCGACTTCACTTGTTCCCCGTTGACCACTTGCCTTTATTGTGAGTACTAGCTTATACCTAGATTTGGAGACAGGTTTTTGAAATCTTACATAGAATTTGAGTTAAGAGGGTATAATTTAAAGCATTTCTTCTGTTTATTTTTAGAAAGAAATGCTTGCTTTAAAATAAATTAAGTATTTTTCAGCTTTAAATACTGATATATTTACTTTTTTATATATTTCAGGACCACATTTTAACCCCAGCGCTATTCATAACTTTTATGACAATATTGGATTTGTAGGTCCTGTGCCACCAAAACCCAAAGGTTAGTGCATCCATTAAGTGTGAAAATTGTTACATTTTGGAAAGCAAAATCTTAGGGAAAAAAAAATTTTTTTTTTTCAATCTTCCACTTTAGAGATGCTTCCAACTTTGGCATTCTGGGTGAATTTCTTAGGAAGATGTTTGTTTATTTAAATTCTGGGGCTTGGGGAGGATGTAAAGATGTAACGTATTTTAACTTTCTAAGAGTAATGTCTGAGATCTTAGTACCCACTGTGTACTCTCAAAACAGTTTGTGTTAAAACAAAGTACAAAAAAGGAAGGCACCTCAGAGAAAGTCAGTTTTTTGAGAACGTCGTTCTTTATAATTCTGAGCAATACATACTGAATTCCAGGCCAATTTTAAAAAGTATCATCTGGTAACATTTTACAGCATTCACAGAATACTTGTGCACCAAGCTAAGACATGTTAAAATAAGTCTGTGGTGTAAGCCGGCACTAGGCTCTGTGTACAGATGAAGTAGTAGGCATGTACATTCAGGTCACTCTGACACTATGCTCAATTATTAATCGGGCATAGTTTGCTTTTAACCCTAAGAGAAGTAAAACAAAGAGTTTGTAAATGAGGATACAATATTAAGAAAGCACATTCTTACTACAAGAACACAGAGTGTGGCCAGGTGGAGTTGGTGAGAGTGGACTCTGCACGTAATTGAAGTTGTCAGCCAACCTAAAGTCGGAAGGTGTAACGGAAAGATGCCCACAACCACAGACAAGGGAAAAAAATACTCCGAACAAATGGTTACACAAATGTTCTAAAAATGTTTCGGTAAAAACTCAGAAGATCATCAAATGACAAGGGAAGACAGTCAGAAAAGCAAGAAGAACAAAAAACAGTAGGAGTGCTAGATTTCTCAGTAATGATTGCCTTCCATGGAAGCACAGTCAACTCTCCGTCAGCTGATAGAGCAAGTGGGTGAATTTTAATAAGCAGGATCCAACCATAGGCTTTATCTACAAGACTCATTTTAGACATAAAGACACAAAAACTGAAGTCAAAATATACAAAAAGGTACCTTATTTAAATGGTACTAATATAAGTCATGAGTGGCTATAATTAATCAAATAAATTATATTTTTTAAATCTGTAAAGTTGCCCCCCAAGAAAAGAATATGATTTTATGTGTATGAATGTATGTACATTTGGTAGCATGTACAGAATTGTCTTCCCATAAAGTGTGTCGTAACAAGTTTAAGATCAAAACCATTTTAACCAAAATCTTTCAGCCATGGTTCTGTGAAACCAGAAAATAAGCAATACAGCCATTAATATTCACTGGGTCTTTGAGGAAAGGAATTTTCAAGGTGTCTGGAGAATGATCTGGGTATGTGATGCTTACTGGTAGGACACCTGCCTAGCAAGGCCCAAGCCTAAGGTTTAATCCAAAACCCTGATTCTTACACAAAAATACCTTGGAAACAAACAAAACCAAACATACCAGAACCTGTAAGAGGCAACAAAAGCAAATGGTAAGTTTATAGAGAGAAAAACCTACATTAAAAAAGAAAGACCTCAATCTAACTGTGTACCTCAGGGACCTAGAATGAGAAAGTAGGCCCAAAGTTAGTAGAAAAAAAGTAATAATGAAAATTAGCATAAATCCAAGAGTTTAAAAACAATAGAAAATCATTAAAACATTTGAAAAGCTGAAATTACAAATCCTTGGCTAGACAGATTAAGGAGAAGGAAAATTCAGGTTAAAAACTGAAAGAGAAGTCATGACAACAGAAGCCTCAAAAATAAAAGAATCATAAGGGGCCAATGTGAACATATGTGTGTCTACAAACTATTAACTTCTAAGAAATAAATTCTGAGAAATCCTATTCATCTGAATCAAGCAGATATACAGGCCTGCTAACAATAAGGAGATTGAATCGATGATAATATCTCGTTGAAAAGTTCAGAGAATTAGATGGCTTTTTGGGTAAATTCTGTGAAACATTCAAAGAACTAAAACCTATTCTCTTTCCCAAAATTGAAAAGAAACACTTGCAATGCTGGGCAGACTTTATAAGTAATAGGAAGCTGTGGGCCCAGATCCCAGGGAACACAGGTGTGTAGGTTTTTTGCTGTCGTATTAACAACACCCTAGAAAGACCATTCCACATGACCAAGTGGAATCTTCTGAGATACAAGACCTGCTCGAAGTGAACAGATTAGTCAGTGGAATACAGCAAGAGGAAACAAAGTGAAAGGAGAAATTATGTCATCTGAATAGACATACAAAAAGAATTTGATGAAGATTAGTCCACTCATGATTAAAGCATAAAATACAAGATGCATTAGTGAGGAAGGTACTTCCTGTGAAACCTGGTGGCTTAGATTCAGTCACTGGAACCCATACAGTAGAGGGAGAGACAACTGCAGTTATCCTCTGAATTCTATACTTCTGCCCTGGAATGCACGCACACACCCCACACACAAGTAAACATAAAGAAAGCCAGCAAGTGAAAGGGCATTTCACGTTAGCATCATAAAGGCCATTATCAAAACCACACATATGTCATAGCTGGGGAAAGTGGAAGCTTTCTATCTGATACACGGTCCAAGACAGGAGTTCCCACTCTTTGCTTCTTTCAGCGCACTGCCCTGGCTGCACTGCCCTAGCCAGAGCAGCTTGAGGAGGAGGAAGAAGGCTTTCAAGTGAGCAAAGAGGGAACAGAATGATGACGTGCTTATCTCAGCTGCAGTCGCACTGTTTTTATTGGTTCGCTACAGTGAAGCATATTCTGAAAATACTGTGTGGAATAGTTCAAAAATCAATAATACATACATTTTAGATGGCTTTCATTAGTGTTAAATCTGTTTTACCATGAATTGTTACTCCATTTTAATGTGCCTGATTTATAAATTAGTTTTATAGGTGTTTGTGTTCTAAGAAAAAACACAGCATGTATCAGGATCAGTATTTGCCATGATTTCAAGCATCCACTATTAAAACTACTTAGTGAGTTCATCAATATAAAAATCATCAATATAAAAATGTAAAGAAGTTACATTTCTTTATACAATTAATTATGCAAAAAGAAATTCATAATATCAAAGGGAAAAGTGTCGTTCACAGTGACAAGAAGTTAAAATAGGGATAAACGTCACCAGAGAGGCAGAAGAGCTTTATACCAAAAGTTATAAACTGAAGAAGGAAATTATTAGAGACATTCATGTTCATGGATTAGAGAATTTGTATTGTTCCGCAGCCTTTAATACATGGGATAATCTATAGATTTTTATGTGCATTGGTGTTTTGTCTGCATGTGTCTGTGCGAGGGTTTAGGGTCACCTGGAACTGGAGTTACAGACAGTTGTGAGCTGCCAGGTAGGTGCTGGGAATTGAACCCTGTCCTTTGGAAAAGCAGCCAGTGCTCTTAACTGCTGGGCCGTGTCTCCAGCCCTGATCTACAGAGTATGCAGTCACTATCAAAATTCCAGTGTCATTCTTACAAGAAAAATGTCCTAAAAATCAGACGGAAAGACTGTTAAGTAGCCAGAGCAGTCTTGAGTGAGGATGAAGCTGAAGATACCACACTCCTTCAGAAGAGATGGCACAGCTACAGTGATGAAAACAGTGCAGTCCTGGCATAATACACAGACCAGCGGAGCAGAACAGAAACACAGGTGCTTCAGTGCTCACCTTTCCTCACGATGGCTGTGTGAGCAAGGGGTGCTGGGGAAGCCGAGTCTCCATATGCAAAATTACGGGACTTGACCCTCCGTATACAAACACTAGCTCAGATGGAGCTGGCAGGAAAGTGCAATGGTGAAGGCCTTTGGTGCTAGCTGACCTGGATGTTCTCAATCTAATCCTTAGGATCCACATAGTAGAAGGAAAGAACCAGCCCCTGCAGGCTTTGCTCTGATCTCTGCATGCATGCTGTGACACATGCATACTCACACGTGTACAGCTCGAAATGCCTGAATGTAAAAATGGTAATCAACTAGATTAGAAGGTTAAGTACACGACGGATCTTGCTGGATGAAAACTTGAAGGCATTGTTCAGGGCTGGGCATGGTAGCTAAGGGGCTGTGTAGCCAAAGAACAGTGCAGAAGGCCCCTGCTGATTAACCAGATTCGGGGTTCTCCTATACCATGTCTACTTTGTAAGTTATAACAGTGGGTGATGACTTTTTGACCCTCTCCACTTTTTCAGCATTTGTTACTGCCATAAATGTAAACAGAGGTTTGGAAATTAGTTGTTTACAAACAAGTGTCATGGCACACACATAGTCCCAACACCCATGGGATTAAGGCAGGGGGTTGCTGCAGTTTAAGGCCAGCCTGAGCTACATGGAGAGCTAGAGCCTCAGAAAGGGATAGGGAACAGTTCTTTGTGTTTTGTGTTACTAAAGACTTGTTTTTTTCAGTAGATTAAAAAAATATGTGTAATGGAAACTTCCATTCCCAGTAAGAAAAATACATCTATAAACACTACTTGACTGGGAAGCGAGACTCATGACTACACTCGCAGCATGTCGTCCAGCAGGAACCCTTTTCACAGGGGTTGGTACCCAGTGCTTACCACTTCTGCACGTTGGAAGTACGCGCTGTGCTCCCCCTTGGGCTGCGGAAGTGTCTCTGTCCTGTCACTCCTCAGAGGAGAAGCAGCCCCATAACGGAGGTGGAGGCCCATGGCAGTTGAGCCAGTTGTTTCCTCTGCTCACCGGCCGCTTTCCCGCTACGTAGTCACCAGGAGTTTGGTAGACTGTGGATTGTTTTGTCTTTTTAAGTTCTTAAAAATCGTGTCTTGTCTTGTTTTCTTTCATTGCTTCCTTACAGATCAGAAGCCCACCACCAAAGCACCAAAGACTCAAGACACAGAGGATGAGGAGGGGGCTCAGTGGAATTGCACTGCCTGTACTTTTTTGAATCACCCGGCCTTGATCCGCTGTGAACAGTGTGAGATGCCTCGGCATTTCTGAGCCAAAGGCCCGTCTCCTCTAAGCCACATCCAGAGTTCAGACAAGTCTGGGGAAGTGTTTCGCTGCCACATAGGAGAGTCCAGCTGAAGGTGATGAGACGGTAGTACGCTGCGCTCAGCGTCAGCCCGCGGCTAACGCTACCTCAGTCTAGAGTTGTGGACAGTGGAGACTCACCGCACGAAGGCTCTGAGAGACTGGACTGCCTAACCGTGTGCAGGGCATCGTGTCCCACGGTGGACCATTCTCGCTCTGTCAGTGCCTCGGTGTTCCCAGCACCTGTCCCCTCATGTCACTACTGATTTTGACTGGAGGGATAGGATGATAGCTTTTTGTGTTTTTGAAGCTTTTGGTGAAACACTACACACACGAAGAGAAGGAACAAGGTTTAGCTATTTAAAACTCTGCTGCCGCATAGTGCCAGTGGATGCGGGAAACTTCACAATCTGTGGTACTTTTGACCTTGTCTTTTGTCTTCTCTGAAGACGTCTCTGTGAAGCCAGCATCTAGGGTCTAATGATAAAAAGGAAAGCAGTATGCGTTGTCTGTACAATCCGCAGTGAGCTCCCCAAAGCCTTTCCTACTGTACAGATCTCTCATGTCTGCTTTAAGTGATTTCTTCATTATTTTCTTATATTTCTGTATGTATAGTGTAATAGACTTTTGTTAACTAATGTTCTTTTCCCTTTTAGTAAGCACGGTCATGTTTCCTTTTAAGCCTTACCTGAGAAAAGCAATGCCATAAGATTAAAAAAAAAAAAAAAAAAGCATTAATGAAATGAAACTGTGCACAAAATAACTTCCCTCTCGTCTCCTGCTCTTTGTCCCCTCGGGTGCCAGTCCTCTGAGAAGACTTGCAGGCGCTGCCCGCGAGCTGCAGGAAGCCGTGCAGGCCTGTCGGGAGGTCACACTCTACACTGACTTCACAGGGTGACCAAACGCGGCCTGTGTCTTCTAGAGCAGCTTAAGCAAAGGTGGCGAAACCCACTTCGTGGAGGCTCCCATTGGGAAAGTACAGTTTCAGAAGCAGCCACAGCAGCAGGTCCAGCAGCCTTTTCTTCTTGGGAAGAAGTGCAGTTGCTGTACTATTGGGACAGTCCATTTCTAAACCTGACTGGGTGACAGGATCGTGTATTTATGAAACATAGTCATCTTTAGGACAACTGAAGAAAAGCTGGAAAAAAGAAAGAAAAACAAACAGACTTGAACACTGAAGCAACCTCAGACATCTCTTTATTTTGATGATATATTTTTGTAAGGAAAATAAATATTCATAAGATCAGGAATGTATATAACTAAATAAAATCAAGGAAAAATAACAGTATGCATTTAAAAAGAATTATGAAATTATCAGTGCTTGGAATGGGGCTAAGGGAAGTGCTGAAATATAGCAAAAAAAAACAGGAAATAATGTAGATTGTCCCACTGTAAATGTTCACATGTGACTATGTTTTAGATAAACGGGATTATTAGGGATGAGTGATCTGAAGGTCAGAGCCTTGGCTTCCAGGCTCTGTGTCTTGAGTGTGAGAAGAGATGTGGCGATCATAGGTCACTCAACAGCAGACCCCAAAACTCATACATTTGATGCATTTGTTTAAAAGCAGGCCTTGTTTTTCAGCTTCCTCTGCAGTTCTATGTGAAGATTGGTAAATCAGTTTTTACTTGTTTTATTAATAAAACGTAATTTGGATATCTTGAGTTGATGGTTTTGTGATTTAGCTGGGTAAACTATCTTTGTAACAGATAAGTTATTTATAAAAATTAAAAAACTTATATTCTAATGTGGATTTTGTGGCTTGTCTTTGAAGTTTGTGGGACAGTTTGTACCCAGCCCAGCATAATGTTCCATGGTTAACTGAGCTCAGGAGAAGGCAGCCCTTCCTTTCTTGAATCTGCTCTCAGCTCATAGCTCCCTCTGGATTTATTGGTTCCTACAGACTGGTTTCTTCTGAGTTGATTGGTTGGTTGGTTGCCTGGTTTCTTGTTGCAGGCTGAATCTCACTATGTAGACCAGGCTAGCATCAAATTTGCAATCTTCTCAGCTTCTCAAATCCTGTGATTGTACGCACACACCATGTCTGGTTGCCAGGCTGTTTTTTACCTGATGCAGGCAGCCAAATTTCAGCTGAGGAGGAAAGTGGATAGCGGCTTATGGTGCATTTTAGTTCATTTCTTTTTAACTTTTAAGAATTTTCCCCCATTGTTCAAAACAAATGTGACTTCCTGGACCCTTTGGCCTAGGGAACCCATTCATGTTTGCTAAGCCCCATGATGCATTGTTACTGAGTTCTCTTGAACAGGACTCTCATAGTCACACTTCTTTCTGAGCTTGAAACAAGCAGAGTTGTTTGCTGGTGTCTGGTGTGGTCTGTGTGAAGGCCTACCTTGAGTCTTTCAGACCAAGTAGGAGGGAGATTTTCTTTGCCAAAAATAACCCTGGACAAAAATGATGGTCTGGAAACCGACTTTGGAAATTACTGAGAAAGTGTCACTCCTGAGCCCCTCGCAGAAGGATGTGCCACCAGCCTTAGAGTCTTAACACTGCAGGGGCCAGGCGAGGGGGTCGGATAAACTGAACTGGGGAAACCTTACCCAGCACTGGTGAGATGGCTCAGCAGGCCGAGCTCGGTGGCCCCCAGAACTCATGTGGTGGGAAGAGGTGACCGACTCACAGCACTTGTCCTCCAGCTGCTCTGCATGGGGGTTTACCCCTCACCAGTGTGCAGACAAAGCCTCGGTTACCACGCCTCATACAGACAATACAGAGGCCCGTGCTGCAGGTCTTTGTAAGCAAAATAGGAATTTTTTTTTCATAAGTCACCATTTTTGCTTTATAGGGTTTTTATTTATCGCTTTATTAGTTTATTCACTTTGTAGCCCCTGCCCTTGTCCCATCCCAACCCTACCCTCCCTCTCTGAACTCCCTCAGCCCTCTGATAGGGAGGTCTTCCTCCCCTTCCGTCTGACCCTATTCTATCAGGTCTCATCAGGAGTGGCTGCATTGTCTTCCTCTGTGGCCTGGTAAGGCTGCTCTCCCCTCAGGGGGAGGTGATCAAAGAGCCAGCCACTGAGTTCATGTCAGAGACAGTCCCTGTTCCTATTACTCTGGAACCCACTTGGAGACTGAGCTGCCATGAGCTACATCTGTGCAGGGGTTCTAGGTTATCTCTATTCTTAGTCCTTGATTGGAGTATCAGTCTCAGAAGAGATCCCTGAGCCTAGATTTTTTTTTTCTTCTCTCCTTGTGGAGCTCCTGTCCCCTCCAGATCTTTCTATCTCTCCCTTTCATAAGATTCCCTGCACTCTGCCCAAAGTTTGGCTATGAGTCTCAGCCTCTGCTTTGATACCCTAGTGGGTAGTCTTTCAGAGGCCCTCTGTGGTAGGCTCCTGTCCTGTTCCCAGTTTTCTCCCTCTTCTGATGTCCATCCGATTTGCCTTTCTGAGTGAGGATTGGGCATCTTACCCAGGGTCCTCCTTGATTAGCTTCCTCAGGTGTACAGATTTTAGTATGTTTATCCTATAGTATATGTCTAATATCCACTTATAAGTGAGTATATACCCTGTGTGTCTTTCTGCTTCTGGGATACCTCACTCAGAATGATCTTTTCTAGTCCCCACCATTTTCCTGCAAATTTCATGATTTCCTTGTTTTTTAATTGCCGAGTAATATTCCATTGTGTAAATGTACCACAATTTCTGTATCCATTCCTTAACTGAGGCGCTTTCTTAGACAATTAGGAATAGTGCTTCCTCAAGATCCAGCTATACCACTCCTAGGCATATATCCAAAAGAGGCTCAAGTACACAACAAGGACATTTGCTCAACCATGTTTGTAGCAGCTTTATTTGTAATCGCCAGAAGCTAGAAACAACGTAGGTTTTATAGGTTTTTTTATACGATGTCTTGCTGCATGGTAGCCGAGGCTAGCCTTAAACTTGCCATCCCTTCGCCTCAGCCTCTGAAGTGCAGGAATTACAAGCTTGCACACTGCCGCACCAACCATTTCCTTTCTTTTTGAATTGTATGTAGTGGGTGTGGGTTTGTATCTGAGTGGAGCGCACAGAGGCCAGATGTATCAGGTCCCCAGTGTGAGCTCCCTCACATGAGTGCTGGGAATCAAGCGATTTTCTCTGCAAGAGCAGTATTTTAACTGCCGAGCCAGCTCGACAGCTCCTTGTTTCTCTTAAGTGAGCAAGCAGCTGGTCTATTGTATAAAATTAAATTTGTATTGTTGAATCAAAATCATGCTTATAACTGCACTAGCATAGTCCAAAACTATTTTAGCTACGGAATCTAAACTGATAAACGCCTTTCTTCTTTTTTTTGGTTTTACCAGACAGGGTTTCTCTGTGTGGCCTTGGCTGTCCTGCCCTTAAACTCACAGAGCTCTGCCTGTGTCTGCCCCCTGAGTGCTGGGATTACAGGCCTGCACCACTGCACCCGGCCACCTGATAAAAGGGCTTTATAAACATGAAAATGAACTGACATTACCTGAGTTTCCCTTTCCCAGTACCATGCTAATGGGAAGATTTAGTGAGTGATGAAAAGTTTCAGAGGTGAAGAATATTCAGTCCATGAGATTGAAATTGGCCAAATTATCCTTGAGAATAATTCAGAGACCACTCCCAGAATAATGTCTGCTCACCGCTAGCATAATTCCCTTTGTTATATTACAAAATATGCTCCTGTACACATGAACATGCTTTGGGCCCCAGTTTCTATTTCATTTATTATTCATGAGTGTGTAATTATTGCTTTCCTATTGCTATGCTAAAGCACCATGACCAAAAGCCACTTAAGGAAGGAGGATTTCTTTTGGCTTATAGTCCAGCATGGTGGCGGCTGGCAGGCGTGCTGGCAGGAACAGAACAGCAAACGAAGTGGTACAAGAGCTTTAATCCCAAAACCCTCCTTCCACCCCCACTCCTCCAGCAAGACTGCACACCCAACCCTCCCCAGCCAGTGCCACCTGCCAGGAGGGAACACTTTTCATTCAGACTAGCATGGTGCATGCACAGGCACGCCGCAGCGTGTGTGGTAAGCAGAGGGCCCCTCACTGGAGTTGCTTCTGTGGTTTCTGAGAATGGAGCTCGTTCATCCCATCACCCACTGAGCGTTTCACCAGGAGCCCTGGCTCCAGCTTTCTACTCTGCTCTGTGTGAAGTTACATTTTATACCCATTTTGGTTAAAGCCCAGCAGTACTGCTGCCTTTTAATCATTGCTTCCGCCTGAAAAACACGGACAGCCAAGTCTCATCAAGAAAACAGCATTCGGGGGCTGCACAAATGGCTCAAGCAGTTAAGAGCACTGACTGTTGTTCTAGAGGGCCCAGGTTCAATTCCCAGCACCGGCATGGCAGCTCACAACTGTCTATAACTCCAGTTTCTAAGGAGCCAACATCTTTACATGGACGAAAAACACCAATGCACATAAAAGAAAAAAAAAAAAAAAACAGCTTTTTTTTTTTAGGTTACATTTTGTTAACTCTGTGTCCCAGCTGTATCCCGCTCCCTCATTCCCTCCCCAACCCCTAGTATTTGTTAAGTTAGGTTTCCTTTCCTGCGTGAAGCTGGTTCACAGCGGGTAGGGTGGAGGGTTAAAAGCTGCATGCCAGGGCTGTGTGGCTGGGCGGACCCTTTCCCTTGCTAGGAGCTGTCTTGTCTTAAGATGGTCTTTTCTCATGAATGCTTTTCAAGGCCTTTTTCTACACAGCGTAATGACCAGGCGAGATGCTCTTTGTTTTATCTCCATGAATCAGATTTTGGTTTTCCTTCACGGGGACCGAAGTCCCGTCAATGTCTGAGATGGGTTGCTTTGCAGAGATGTATGTTGAGGGTGGGGCTTGCACAAGGAGGCCAAAGGTCAAGTGAGACTCAAAGATACAGCCACCTTGGCCCCGTAGCTCTGTGAGTACAAGTGCAGGCTGCCACACCTAGCTGTGGGGGAAGGGGAGGGGCTAACTTTGGGCCCTCACACTTACAGAGAAGCACCGTACCAGGAGCTGCCCTCCAAACCTTTACACAGATTGGTTTGTTGGCTTGTTTTCTATGTCAAAGCCTGGCCTAAAGATCAAGTGTGGATTTCTATTGCTTGCTCAGCTATCTAGAAAGTATGTGTCTTGTGATGAAATATAAGAAATTATCTCTCCAGGGCAACAAATGCTATATTCAAAAGATAGTTAGGCTGGGGATTGCCCACATGCACTTTTGAGCGGCCTAAAACAAATCCACTGAGCGCTCCTGGGGCTCTCGCTGCAGGTTTCTTCATCCCCGTCCTCTTGCTACATAAGAGACCCATCACCACTTGCTGATCTTTGTTCCAAAATCGTATCTGTCCCCCATGGCTCAGTAAATACACACTAGCATCTTTCCCAGGGACTTTTTTAAAAAGAGAGAAACTGTTCGAGTACAGGCAGGGAGAGTGCGTCACCTGCAGGCTGCTCGGGAGGCCTCCCTGTTCTCACGTGTTCACTGCGCTCACCTTGCCGCCTCTGCAGTGTCCACCGAAGCCTCTGGCATCGACTCTGGTCTGACCTCTTCCCTAAGAGACCTTGCACACGCCACCTGTACACCTTGTCCGTCCTGGGTGGCCTGACTCTCCAGGTCAGTTTCAGCTCTCAAGGACAGGGCCAAGATGGTGAAGCCTTGGGCTACTGAGATGGCCCAACAGACAGAGGCACCTGCTGCCAAGCCTGAGGTTGAACCCGATCCCTGGGACCAACCTGGCAGGAGAGACTGACTTTCCACAGGACTCCTCTGACAAACAGGCACACTGGGCCGCACA